CAGTTTCTTTTACAGCAGTTTTTACTTTCAAAGTGAAGTGACAGGGCAAATTTTTACTTTCTTACTTTTCAAAGAACTTTGGGATTTCCATGGTCTTCCACCAAGGTATGTTAGCTTGGGTACTTATGGCCAGGGTTGGCTTCTTGGACATGCAACTAGTGCAGTCATGCAGGGCTGGCACTTAGAAGTGTTTGGGGTTTAATGCTCAGCAGTTGCAACCTTGAAATTCTTAATCATTTTATCTTGAATTTATGTTTTTTAAGTGAAGTTTGATGGGCCGATGGAACAAGCCCAGGGGTCTTGGAGCCTTATTTCCTACACAGTCCCGCCTCACATCCTCTCCCCACTTCTTCCCTGGTTCTCACTCCCCTAGCACCTTGCCACCCCCCCTCCAGCCAATACCATGACTGCTGCTGGGGCAGCAAGCTCATTGCTAGGAAGGAGTGAGAAGGGAATCCTGCATTCCACCATCTCCATCCACCTCTCACCCCCGTGGGTGCCTGGACACTGGGAGATGATTGGGGTCAGACACAGCCCCCACCCCACCCCTTCCTGTGTCTCTGGGTGAGGTAAACAACCATCCTTGCTCGAGACTGGAAGGAACATGGCTACTGGTGGGAACCTCTTGCCCATCCCCATGCAGATACCAAATGTGGCCAGGCAGAGCAGTTCTAACCCCTTGGGGATCGCGCAGACACTGTGGGAATGGTAGTTGACTTCCCTGCCCCTGGCCAGGACCCCACATTTCCATTTTGCACTGATCTCTGCAAATTATGTAGCTGGCCCTGCCTATGCCCTTTATTATCTGTGTCTTTGAGCAAGGTACTTCGTCTCTCAGTGCCTCTGTTTCTATGTAGGATGATGGCAACGGCAGTGATAATTATCTCCCGGTGGTTGGGGATTATTCTGAAGCCTAAAGATGATCCAGGTGATGCCCAGTAAGCAACAAGAACTAAATAGGTAACAGCTGTCTTGGTACAATCCTACCAAGCAGGACATAATTTAACCACCCCCCGCCCCCCACACCGCAGAAAGAGAAGCAAAGTGACTTCTCCCAATAACCAGCTGTGGAACTTTGTTTAACAAAGAATTTTTGTTTTTTGCTTGTTTGTTTTTGTTTTTAATTTCTAGTCCAATCCTGGGACTAGAAATAACAGCTTTTATTTTTAATCGACTGCACCAAATTTCCCTGTCTTCAAGCCATCCTGCATTATGATAATTACTTTATCCTACTCTTCAACATCCATTTATGGTCAAATTGGTTTGCAGTGTGATAATTCTGGACACTTGACACAACCACTGCATTCATACACCCTCAGGAAACTATAGCCAGCAAGCAAGGAAAGATTTTAGAGAGTGAAAGGCTGGCTGCTTCCAGGAGCAGTTTAGACTCAATGATGAAAACCCACACTTTTTTTTTTTTTAAGTAGGATCTATGCCCAGTGTGGGGTTCGAACTCACAACCCTGAAATCAAGAGTCACGTCCTCCACTGACTGAGCCAGCCAAGTGCCTCATAAAAAAAATAATACTTTAAGAAGCAGTAAGGGAATGAGGACAGAGAATAAACTAACATCTGTTTCCATCTTGCTCTTAAGGTTTTCCAGCTATCAGCATATTTTTACTTAATCTTTAGGGTGTGGGTCAGATCTCCTTGGGAGAGCCTCTCCCAACTGATTGAAAAATTCCTGTCATGCTGAGGTCAAATAATTCTCCATCTATTAATAAACACAGATGGAAGTCCTTAGACCTTGAAATATTTTAATTTACACACAGTAGTTTAAAGTCACCCTTTTCTGGGGCACCTGGGTGGCTCAGTCGGTTGAGCGACTGCCTTCGGCTCAGGTCATGATCCCGGAGTCCCGGGATCGAGTCCCGCATCGGGCTCCCTGCTTGGCGGGGAGTCTGCTTCTCCCTCTGACCCTCCCCCCTCTCATGTGCTCTCTCTCTCTCTCATTCTCTCTGTCAAATAATAAATAAAATCTTAAAAAAAAAAAAAAGTCACCCTTTTCTCCTAATGCTGCCCTAAGCTTTCTTGGAGAATTATAAATAGAAACAAATCTTAGCTCACATAGAAACAAGGGCCAGACCAAAGGCAGAGCTTCCCCCAGACAAGTGAAACCTACAGCATACTCCAAAATAGGGGAAAATGTTTTCCTCTGGTGGAGAGTTAAGCCTAGCCGCATTCGCATTACTCCTCTTTGGAGTCACTTGAAGCAGCCTATCTGTGGGTGTTATTCATCTTTATCTGGTGTGGGCGCATAGTAGGAATTCAATCAATATTTGCACCTAAGTGAGTGAAATGTTATCAGATGAAAAGCAGCCTAGGCAGCAATTGATTATTAGGTGGGGGAAACGAGTTCAAATATATATCTTATGTATTCTGTTGTATTACATATATATAATTTTCAAGGACTAAGATGCACATGTTATTTAATGGCCACTTGCCCACTTCAATTTTAGCAAATGGTCTGGATCCAAAGATTTACCCTCTTCTTTCACTGAAAATAGAAAATTCCTTAGCCTCTTTCTGCAGCCAGGGCCCTTTCAACCTTCCTCTGAGGATGGTGAGTAATAGATCTGGATTAAGAGGCATTTGGATCGTTCTCAATCTTGTGGCGCTACAATATGAGGGCCTGCTGGGGAGACTCAGAAATTGTAAACAAAGATGTTCTGGTAATTTTTTTCCCCCACAAAACACGCAACTTAAGATGATCACGTGGTAGGGGGGCTTGATGAGCCTACTCTATGATCTGTATTCCCATCACAACGCAAGTTAATGGCCTGATTGGTTTTTTCATTAAATAAAGATTTACTCATGGCTCACTTTGATTTGTCTCCCAGCCTCTTCCAATAAGACTCAGTCTTGATCTCAAGGTCATGGGATCCCACTCCCAGCATTGGGCTCCAAGCACCTGGCTCCAACAATTAATAGGTGTGTGACTTTTAATTAAGCATTTATATTCTTAGGTCTCAATTTTTTCACTGATATAATGAGGGTCATGGAAGAGCCTGACTCTTGATCTCGGGGTCATGAATTGAGCCCCACACTGGGTGCAGAGATTACTAAATAAACTTAAACAATATTTAAACTGAGGGTTATGAGGATTATAAAGGCATCTACCTCATAGGATTGCTGTGAGGATTAAATAAGTTAATGAATATACAGTGTTTAGAGTGTTGTTACATAAGGTATGAGAACCATAGGATATTCAGTGATCAAAGCAAGGGGCAGAACAGTAGGCAGAGTAGGCTACCATTAGTATAAAAAAGTAGAAATAAAGACTGCATATACCAGGGCGCCTGGGTGGCTCAGTCGTTAAGCGGCTGCCTTCGGCTCAGGTCATGATCCCAGGGTCCTGG